GAGCCAGTTTCCTTCTTCCATGTCCTTTACATGGGCTGCCACCAGAAGGTATGGCCCAAATTACATATATAGGCATATATATATATATATATATATATATATATATATATATATAATGTGTTTCTATGTATATATAAATTTATATTCATTCATTCTTACTAGTTCTGTTTCTATAAAGAACCCTAATTGTTCAATAGGGAGGGGTGTGTGTGTGTGTGTGTGTGTGTGTGTATGAATAGAACTGAGAGAATGAATCAGTTCTGTTCATGTAGAGAACCCTGATTAATACAGTAGGGTGTTTTGTCTCTGTGTGTGTGTGTGTATGTATAAATGTGTGTAGGCATGTCTTGGAGGGGGAGGTCATGTTGTAAAAAGGACCATGAGAGGAGAAGCATCTAATGGGGAGGGAGGGAAGGAGACCATGTGACATGGAGGCAGAAGAGAGCTCCTGTTGGGAGTGAATTGACCAGCAGAGGTAGGATAATGCAGAAGGGAACTGGGGAAGGAAACACTAAGATCAACGCCCACAACAAAACCAAGTACTCTGTGTGTTAAAGACTGTAAAGAAGGAAGAAACAGATCAACATCTCTTTCATCTCGGTACTTGTGAGAAATAAGTGCCCTCACTTCCCTTCCTTCATCCAAGGTGCTATTTGCTCTGATGCTACTGAAGAAAAAGAGAAAGAAAACCACTCAGTACCTAGCACTCCAGGCTCGAGTAGACTGGGCACCATGATGTCACATTTCCTGAGAACCCCCCCGCCTCACAGAAGGCCTTTTCCTCTGTGTCTGCTGCTGTGTGTGTTCCCAACCAATGCTTCAGTGTGCGGATGAGACTCCTCTGCTGCTATCTGTTGCACTTCAGACTTTTCCTGCCTTTTAATTCTTTAACTGACAGCAAAGACAAACCCAACCACGACTTCCAGGCCATCTGTACCACTTCTGAAATCCACAATCTCTGCTTGTCCCAAAGATCTAGGGCCACTGGGAAAGGTCCAGAAGACTATAGCCGGATTGAGCTGGATCCGTTTAACGAAAATGCACCAGCAGGACAGCTTTGTGATTAGGACATAGAACCAGTAAGTGCTGGGGACAAAAAGTAGGCTTCCTTCAGGGATAAGCACGTTGAGAGTTCTTTCCACTCCACCAAGCTTGGTTCTAAATTCTCAATAGTAAAGCAAATGAAATGATACTGGTCCTAGGCATGGAATGGACTCACACAGTAATATAAATGAAAAATAAAATTTTATCTATTGTGGTGGTTTGAATATGCTTGGCTTAGGGAGTGGCACTATTAGGAGGTGTGGCCTTGTTAGAGTAGGTGTGGCCTTGTGGTAGGAAATCAGTCACTGTGGGCTCTAAGACCCTCATCCTAGCTGCCTGGAAGTCAGTCTTCTCCTAGCAGCCTTCAGATGAAGATGTAGAACTCTCAGCTCCTCCTGTACCATGCCTGCTTGAATGTTGCCATGTTCCTACTTTGATGATAATGGACTGAACCTTTGAATGTGTAAGCCAGCCCCAATTAATTGTTGTCCTTATAAGAGTTGTCTTGGTCATGGTGTCTGTTCACAGCAGTAAGACCCTAACTAAGACATCTATATAAAGGTCCAAGGCACTCATAATATATAAAAGGTGTGTGTATGTGGCAGGTGGGGGTCAGGGGTTGGGGGAGTCACTGCAAAAACTCAGATAGTTTCAACCCAATGTTATGTTCATTCTCAGTATCACAGCAAACACTGTGGTGGCTTATAGTAGAGTAGGAGAAAGCATTACTGACCAAGCAACTACAGATGGTCCTGCTGTCATAAAGTCCAACCAAGGATACACGAGGATGCTCTCAGAACTGCCAAACTGGCTCTATTCTGGTGTTACCCAATCTCCACAATGACAAAGAAAAATCCCTCCTTTACATTTAATTCCTTAGAATCCAATTCCAAAACAAGCAATACTGAACACTCTGAGGAGATCTATGGGGCCAGACCCAGTGGTTACTCTCACAGAGGATCCAGGTTTAATTCCCAGCACCCACATGGTAGGGCACAACAGCCTGTAAACATAATTTTGAAGGATCTGATACCCTCTTCTGGCTCCCATGGGCTTCTGCACACACATATGACATACAAACATACACTCAGGTACACATGCATACCCATAAAAAATAATGAATAAATAAATAAATAAATAAATCCAACCTTCTGTAACTTCTAAAAGGATCTGTCCTTTGACAGCTTCTATGCCGACATATTTTTAATGAACTTCACAAAGGAGACAAGCTACTATGTTGTATGCAAATGAAGTGACTTAGAGATATCAGTATTTCCAGACTTCTACCAGTTACAGGAAAGCCACAACTTGTCAATAGCCCAAAATATTTACATAAATAAACTATGGTATCTGGGGCTAAAATTCAGAGAAAAGGATCAGGAAAAGGCATTCCCAGAGGAACAGCCATGAGGAGTCTGAGAGTCATGGGAGAGGTAGATACAGCATGGTCATTATAGAAAGACCAATAACACAGGTACCTGGACTCTCCCCACATATACATTAAAATTAGAACATGTTCATCTCTCAAAGTCTTGTTTTTTGTATACTGGGGATAGAACTCAGAGCCTCAAACACGCTGGGCAGTTGCTCTACTCACCTCCGCCCCAACATTATTTTAATAAATATTTGTAAAACGTTTCAATGTTTTAATTCTTTGAAGAAAAAAAAATACCGAATAAGAGAGAGAGAGAGAGCAAAAAGCAGTTTGATACAGGAAAATAACTGAATGATGTTAGCCCTTGCATCTGAGAAGCATTCCAGAAGGCTCAGCAGCTGAAGGCAGGTTCACAGAATTGACAGCTAATCCCGAGTTCTCACCACATGCGGAGAGATTTCATGGGAAGTTCGCTAAGGTTGCAAACTTCTGGAGAAATGCCTATGCTGACGGTAGGGCTCAGGGGTCAGCACTTGGGAAAACTTGGCCACAGACTGACCAGTGAATGAAGAAGGAGAGCAGAGAGTGAGGTACGTGCATTCACACCAGGAAACTGAGCTCAAAATTATTCACACCTGCCGCCTTCTTCCCAAAGCTTCATGAAATACCCAGAATACTTGGCGAAGGGCTCTGGGAAGAGAAGAACAATAGAAAGGGAAGCTTGAAGACACTTCCTTACACAGGATCCTCTCCTGTACTTTTGGGAGTCCACCATGCACCGTGACTCACGGCTTTTCCTACGTGACCTTTAAACACTTGAGGATAAAAGGGGGGAAAAGTGAAACAAAATAAAAAACACGAACGGTCAAGTTTTTTAATCCAAAATGCAAAATCGTGACCCAATTTCAACGTGGCAGACCACACAAACCCCTTCGCCCACACAAATCACTCTAGGAAAACCGGAGGCACTTCAGGAGACCGGAGAGGGGTGGGCACATTTTTCCTAAAGACGCCCCGAAGAGGGGAGGGCACATTTTTATTAAAGACGCCCAACAACACTGTCCTAGAGCCCAGTACACTAGCTCTCTCTGGTCTTTCAGCCAAAATGAAAACTCAGAATAAGCCACCATGGTAGACTTGTAAAACACTAAGGGAAAGCACCAGGATGGGGATGCGGGTGGGGTGAGCACCAGGTACCAGTCCAGGGGGGCCTCGGGGGCCTTCCCAGGTCTAGGTCAATCCACAGTGGCAAGTATGGTCGGGAATGGCTCCCTCCAAGAGGCACATTTGGTACCAGAGCCAGCTCTGACCCACCCACTCCCTCTCAGCTTCCATCTACGTTCACAGGATAGCCATCTAAACTAACTGGATTCCACTTTGGGCTGTACTCTGGACAGCCTCCTCCCAACTGCATCCCGGCTGCCGCTACCATCACGCTATGACGCTAAGCATCATGGCCATCTTCTAGACAGAAATCATGTGAGTATCTGGGAGGTGTTAGGTCCTCTTTTATCCCCTCCAGACTATACTGGTCATTTCCTTCTCTCTCCGTGCTGCAACCCTCTTTGGATTTGTCTCCAAACCCCAAGAAGTACCTATTATGCCCACGCGGGCAAGCGGATCCACATTCAACATGGGTTCTGCAGAAGGCAAAGCTCTGCAGGACTTGTAAGCATCCAGGAAACATTCCTGAATGTCGCACAATCTTCTCAATCCCAATGAATCTTTACATCTATCCCCCATGCTTAGCCTTCTAGTAGGGCTTGCTAAACTTTGTCTCTACGCCGTAATCAATATCCAACTCCTTACAGCTGTTTCTGGAATAAACTAACCTGATAGAACATGACTTAAAAAAGAAACGGTTTATCTCAGCTCACAAGTCAAGACAGTGGGAACTTAAACCTTGTCACACCACATTCACCGTCAAGCACAGAGAGAAACGAACGCATGCGCACTTCGAGTATGTAGCTCCATTTCTCGCTCGTACAGTCCGGGAGCCAAACCCAGGGAATGGCATCATTGCCTTTTAGGCTCGATCCTTTCATATCAGTTAACATAATCAAAACAATCCCCCACAGATTGCCCACAGGCCAACTTGGTCTAAACAACCGAGATTGCGTGAAGGTGAAAGTTAAACTAACTGGCCATCACAAGGTCTTGGAGAGGTCTTTCTTGCTTTGGTGATACAATGCGGTACAATCCTTGTGACGGGAACACCTCTCCTTCCTGACTCACCTTAGTTAGGGAAATGCCTCTCATGGCCTCAGCTCAGGAGTTATTTCCTCCAAAACAAAACAAAACAAAAAATCCCATCTGGATTTGCATCCTCCAAATACTTATGACTATCACTCCACCTGGTCTTGCCAATCACAGTGCTTTCAAATAAACATTGGTTTGGGTGAGTTTCCGTACTAGCCTTGCTCCTGGGAGTAGAGGCAAGGGCTAGGTTCTGCAGCACAGAGGACGTGCTCCATGGATGCTTCTGGAATGAGCGTATGTGATGGATCATAGTCCACGGAGGAGAGTCATGAGAGCGACTTGTCGTCTTTGGCATAGATCTGCGGGTGCAGGGTTCTCTTACCACTGTGAGGTAAAGTCAACAAAGTCCGCGGAGAACTTGTCTGCTGGGAGCTGTGGAGAGGGCTCTTCTACCACCTGTTTTAGCTGCTGGAAGGGCGTTCCCCAAGAATCATAGGGAAACCGAAGGATGGCCAGCTCAATCTAAAAGGAGGGAAAGGGGGGGCAACCACTTAATAAATGCTCACTAGGAAGCAGTTGTGTTTTTGTTGGTTTGTTTTAAGGAGGACGAGATGAAGCTCAAGTATGATGAGGGAAGAAAAACAAGCTAATAACCCGTTCTCACAAAATCTTAGAGCTAGCTACATTTTTAAATATTGTCTTACCAGTGACGGATATTTAAAGCTAACTAAATAAATGAGTCCCTTGATAACACCCGGACCTATTTCATAAAAACTTATCAGCCAAGAGCATTGAAGTTCAACACAGGAAACAACCAGTTTTTCAAGTATCTGGCCAGAATAGGAATGCTTAAAGACTTTGGCAGCACTGTGCCTCTGCTGCCACCTACAGGCCTCTTGGTGAAATGGAAAAATTAAAAAAAAAAAAAAAGTTACCCAGGACCAAATGACTGATCTTTTTTTGGACTTGAGTAAAGGCCACTGTGCTGTTACAGAATCACATGTTTTCTGGGCAGGGACATGGAACAACTCACTGGATATAATCAGCTGCTGGTCCTGGTCAGTAGCCAGGACCACAGTGGGTAATTCCAGACCTCAGAGATATACTAAAAGTGTACAGTCACAGAGGCTACAGATAAGGCACTGGCTGTGTGGCCATAGGACCGTGCTTGGGAAAGTACACTATCCATTATCGTGTTCTGAGGATAGGTCTAACTTCAACATCCAAAACTTCCACCGTGAAAATGGTGCAGAACTTGGGACATTGCCTAGCTAGCAGAGTGCTTGCATAGCAGCCCTGAATCCAGGGGTCCATCCATAGCATGGTAGCAAACCAAGCATGGTGGTACGTGCCTGCAATCCTAGGACTTTGGGATCGGGGACAAGAGGATCAGAAGTTCAAGGCCAACCTGAGCTACATATAGATTTTGCCGCCAACCCTGGGCTGCATGAGATCTGGTCTCAAATATTAAAATCAAGTAGACAATCTAGTACATTTGGCCTATCAGGGCCCACACACATTAGCATGGGGGTGGGGGAGGGGTTGCTTTTTTGTTTTGTTTTGTTCGTTTTGTTGTCCTGGTTTTTGTAACCTAAGCTTCTTGTCTTGATCCTAATCCTTTAAACTACAAAAATTCTATTAACCCCTTTTCTATCAGAAAGATCGTCAGTGAGAATACATGAGTTCTTGAAGGTCACATGACTAGTAAAAGTCAGAAAAGGGGGAAGATTTAGACTGCCAGATCTCACTGTACGGTTTCCACTGTACAGTACTGCAAACAATCAGTCCTGGAAAATGACCTGCCATCTCAGACAGGAAAGGGTGCCTAAGTGTGATATCAAGAACATTTGCTTCTGGGTCCCCAAAGCCCACCCCATCCAGGTTTGCACTCAGAACCTCGTAGCCCACAATGATGATCATAGGTTACCATGGTGATGCCCAGACTCCAAATGTCAGACTTCACACTGTACCCCTTCTGGTTGAGCTCAGGATTTATTCGTTCAGGCTGGAAAGGAGACAGACAGCTAAGAAACAGAAAGACAACTGCAATGCCATGTAGCTCAATAAAGACTCGGCACCACTTGCCATATGAGTTATTCAACTCTGTTAACATACCTCCCGGGACAAAAGACTGGCTAATCACAAGCTATGAAATGTCTCCACAGGGCTTTCCTTTTTTATATTGGTCTTTTCTTAGAAGCAGGAATGAATTCAGATACCCCATAACAAAGTTTAATTGCCTTAAGAGGAACAAGGGTACATATTCAAAAGCCCTTCTATTAAAATTATCCTTTTGTGAGCTCAAAACTCACAAAAGCCTGCAGAAGTTCATAGCTACCGTCTGATGTTAAGAGACCTTGGGGATTTTACTCAAACATAGACGAGAAGTTTTCAATCCCAAACGCAAGTCCCTTCCAAGATAAATGTGTTCCTCCAGTTGGGCGTTCTGTGATGACGACCAGAACTGCCTTGTGCTTTGTGTGGGTCATTTAAGTTCCCCATGGTCTTCTGTCCTTGGTGATCAAGCAAATACTCAAGTACAAGTCAGTGTGTAAAACTGAGTGCCAGTGCCCAGTACTTACATGCATTTTCAAATTAATATGCCCCTTCGAGTTAATTCTGAAAGGCAATACATATGCTATGGTTTGTATCTTTGTGTCATCCCAAAATGCACATTTTAAAACCATATCACATGGGAGCTGGGGAGATGGCTCAGCAGTTAAGAGCATCAACTGCTCTTCCAGAGGTCCTGAGTTCAATTCCCAGCAACCACATGGCGGCTCATGATCATCTGTAATGGGATCCGATGCCCTCTTCTGGTGTGTCTGAAGATAGCTACATGTACTCATAGATAAAGTCAATTTTAAAAAAAGAAAGAAAAACCTTATCCCATCTGTGACCGTAACAGGAAGTCTTATCTCTATAAGATGACTGTGGATTTGGAATAAGTTCCTCATGAATGGGGTTAGTACCCTCATAAAAGAAGCCTTGGAGAGATCCCCTGCTGCCTCGAGCACTTGAGGACCCAACCAGGAGCCTCATATAAGGCAGAGAAGCAGGCCCTCACCACAGCCTGTGTCTTTCAATATCTTGCTCTTGGACTTCCCAGAGTAAAAACTTCATTTAAAAAAAAAATGTGTTCTGTAAGGTGCCCAGTTTATGGTATTTTGTTACATCAACCTCAAAGGATGTCGATAATACTTGGAGCAAGTGACAATGATTTCTGACATAAGAAAGACCTTTAAGAAAATGACACAAGGCAGAATTTTTCTCAAATCTGAGGCTCATCCCAATTCTCCATCATTGGCACGCATTTCTTATTTTCTTGCCTGATTTTGCATGCAGGTGCACGTCTCAGACATTCATGCGCATGCAGGCATGTGCACTCACGCACGCACGCATGCACGCAATCACGCACGCACGCACGCACGTACACGCTACATGCTGGTACTTACAGCCATGTATGGTTTGCAACCGGCATCGATCGTTTTAGCAACAGAGTCGACCAGGTAGCCACTGATTCCAAAGTCACACATCTTTACTTGGCCCAGTGTGTTAATGAGCACGTTAGAAGGCTTGACATCTGAACGAAAGAATGGGAGAGTTACTTCTTCACCACTAGAGGGCCCTAGACTCTCCGCTTGCCTTGCAGGGCTGTCTTTGCCAAGGTGCCCAAACACAAATGTCACCACTGACCCAAATACCACACAGCTGCACGCAGTGTGTTCCTCTCCAGTTGGGTTTTTAATTCTTCATGCTTTGTCTATGTCTTTTAGGACTGTGAATCTCAAAATTGGAAAACCTGTCTCCTCTGTTTATCTTATTTCATTGCTTCCGTATGTGGTATAAGAATTTTAAAAAGAAAAAAAAAATACTATTACCAAACCAAAGTGATCTATGAGGTGATAAGTGAACCATTCAGGTTAGCAAAACATAACCCACCCACTGACAAGCCCCAAGAGATGAACTCTGTTGCTCTCTAGTGGTGATGAAACAAGAAAGGCCACTTCACAGGAGCCCTCTGAGACTCTTTCTACAAATGAATAAAAAGAATGGGTTTATTCTAAAGTTAGTTCTTCAGCCGGACATGACAGCACAGGCCTGCAATCCCAGCACTTGGGAGGCAGAGACAGGTGGATTTCTGAGTTCAAGGCCAGCCTGGTCTACAGAGTGAGTCCCAGGCCAGCCAGGGCTACACAGAGAAACCCTGTCTCAAAAAACAAACAAACAAACAAACAAACAAACAAACAAACAGGCAGGAGGATCCTTTAGCTACATAGCAAACTGAGCACATCCTGGGCTAAAAGAAATCCTGTCTCATAAAAATAAAATAATAATATATTTTTAAGTTATCCCCTTACTATTTTTCTCTTAAACTCGATGGCATGCCAAACATCATTTTATTATCTCCATAGCTTTGTACATGCTCTAACTAAAAAATAATATTTCAATATTTTGAAATGACGTCTGCACCTACAGATAATTGTTCTTGTCTCTGTCTCACTTCCTGCTTATGCCCCAGGCTCTTATTTTTCCCCAGCTTTACTGCTACCAAGTAATGCTTGCAAAGGCAGGTACACGGTACAGGGCAACTTACATCATAGCCATGTTCACGGTTTAAGAATTAAGCAAGCACACTCCTTGGTACCCAGACCTCTATTAATTCCCTCAAAAACATACTATATGTACAAAGTGCAAGCTATCCCTGTCTAGAACCTTCCAGCAATAATGAACTCCTCTTTTTTTCTTGATACTACTTCCATTTATGGTACTTTCCTAGTTCCAGGATGTTTGGTTAAAGTTTTTCTGGTTATCCCTTTATCGAGAATCCCTACGTAGAATTTTTACAGGATGGATTTTCCTAAATGACTCTTAGGTCTTCTTAGTGTTACTAAAAGCATCTATACTGAAGGTGACTTTAGAAGCTACAGAGATGCCTCAGGAGCTAGAGAACCTGCTGTTCTTCTAGAGGACCCAAGCTCAGCCCCCAACAACCATATCAGGCAGAGGACAAGTCTGTAACTCTAGTACCAGGAGTTCCAACGCCCTCTTCTGGCCTCTGTGGGAACTGCACTAATGTGGCATAGACACATATATACATAAACACACATAGACTCCTAAAAACAAAACTGAAAAGAATGATTGTATGAGATAAATGGATAGAAAAGGGTGGGTGAATAGATTAAATTGATGAGGAACTGAATGGAGATGTAACAGACCTGAGGGTGGCTGGCATACACACACACACACACACACACACACACACACACACACACACTGTGCAAACATGAGGGACCTGAGTTTAATTCCTAGAACCCACATTAAAAGCTAGCCATGGTCATGCACACCACTGGCCCAGTTCTATGGGGAGATAGGAGAATCACTGGAGTTTGCTTGCTGCTTCTGTGGGAGATCCTGTCTCAAAGAAATAAGGCAGGGAGTGACAGAGCAAGAACCTGACATCCTCTATGTGTGTGAACGGTGAGCACACCCACATACATGTGTGCGTGAGAAAGACACACACACACATGCACACACGGACATATGCATGCACTCACACAAATAAAAATAAATAAAAATTAAGAGCTAACAGGAGAAGAGGAAGGGTAAGGAAAAGGAAACAAAAAACAAACAAATAAAAAAAGAGATAAAGTCATTGTTTTCCCTCTCCCTACAGCCTGGAAATGCTCTGCTTTGTTCTGGAGATTTCCACACTACACCCACACAGACACATCTGGGGATCTTGTGAAGATACAGGTTCTGATTCCTCATGTGACTATGCTTTTCTAATCACCTCCTCCTGCTGGAGATCCAGTACAAGCTGGGGCTTTCTCCCAGGTGCTTTCAAGTTCTCAATGCTATCCATAGCTCTCCTTGGTGAGTTTCTATTCAATTTAGATATAATACAAAATTCATTTGTTCTTATATTCTCACCCAAGGTAAAGAATGGCCATGGGGGGGCTGGAGAGATGGCTCAGCGGTTAAGAGCACTGACTGCTCTTCCAGAGGTCCTGAGTTCAATTCCCAGCAACCACATGGTGGCTCACAACCATCCGTAATGGGGTCTGATGCCCTCTTCTGGTGTATCTGATCACAGCAACTGTGTACTCACATTCATAAAATAAATAAATCTTTAAAAAAAAAAAAAGAATGGCCATGGCTTGCTTACAGCCTAAATCTTATAAATGTCTTCCAAAAGCCCATGTGCTATACAGGCTTAGTCCCCAGCTTAGCCCTACTGGGTGAGGCTAAAACCTCCAGGTGGGACTTGGAGGGATGTTTTAGATCACTGGAAACAGCCCTTGAAGAGGATTGTGGGATGCTTGTCACATCATCTCTATTTCTTTCCTGGCTATAAGGTGATTGAACTTCCTCTCTCCAACATGGTCCCACTATCTTGCATCACCTCACCACTGGCCAAAAAAAGCAACAAGACTAGTAAACCCCAGACTGATCCAAAATAAACTTTCCTCTTCATCAGTTGATTGTGTCAAGTGATTTGTTACAGTAATAGAAAAGTAACACAAGTACTTACATTTTTTTTTCTCCAATCCCAAAGGAAAACCCTTTAGGTCTTCTGCCTAACTCATTCCCCACCCCCATATGCTCAGGGAAGAGTGGGAGAGGAAAGGAGATCCCAGGAAAAGGAACCCAACTTAGCAAAAGCAGCTGCCAAGACTTCTCTACACATGCTTACCTCGATGGATAACTGAGAGCTTACTGTGTAAATGTTCTAATGCTTTTACAATCTGCAAGAGAAACAGAGTCGAATTATTGAGCCCCTCACTGGAAAGAAGCTGAATGCTAAGTGTATTCAATTTTATTAACACTCCCTGCTTAAAGTTGCTGAATGAGTGATTAGTAGTGACCCTCATGGGGAAAACAATAGGAAGTTACCTAAATTGGACACCTCCACCAAGGAGGATTGTATCTTAGAAAGGATTCAATTGTAAGATTGTATCTTAAGGCAGCTCCTTCAGCTCTGTTAACCATCATTTTCCTCCACCTTCCTGAACCTCAGTAGCCGTTAAGGTTGCCTTGTCTTCTAATTCCTTTTACACCTTAGTGTTAAGAAAACATTAGGGCCGGAGTGGTGGCTCAGCAGTTAAGAGCACTCACTGACTGCTCTTCCAGAGGTCCTGAGTTCAATTCCCAGCAACCACATGGTGGCACACAACCATCTGTAATGGAATCCGATGCCCTCCTGTGGTATGTCTGAGAACAGCTACAGTGTATTCACATATATAAAACAAATAAATCTTTAAAAAAGAAAGGGAGGAAAAAAGGAAAACATTAAAAACTCTACAAGAAAGAAAACATTAAAAGCTCTACAACTGAGTTGAACTAAAGTATGTCTGAGTACAATGTACAAGTGATAGGTGTGGTGGTAAGTTTTAATGGTCAGTGTGACACAATCTAGAATCACTTTGAAGGAGAGGCTAAATAGAGCAAACTAGTGGGCTTGAGATCAAGTTTGTCTTGTCTGTGGATGATTGTCTTGATTCTGGCCATTCAAGTGGGAAGAGCCTGCCCACTGTGGGCGGTGCCATTCTCTAGGTATAAGATGGTAGATTGCACAGGAATAGAGAAAGCAAAACACATGCATTAAATCAGTGCTCTATGCCCTTAACTATGGATGTAATATGACTAGCCTCATGCCTTGACTTCTCTATAATGCTGGTCTGTAACCTGGAATTGTGAGCTAAATAAACCCTTTTTACCTAGGTTGCTTTTGTCAGGGTCTTCTTGTTGTTGTTGTTGTTTTGTGTTTAGTTTGTTTTGGGTTGTGTGTGTGTGTGTGTGTGTGTTTTGTTTTATCAAAGCCAGAGAACAAAAAGCATGGTTTATCAAACCAGGTCAATGGCTGCATGTACAGCACAGAAACTGGTTAAAAAAAAAAAAGGCATTTGCTCAGCCTCCCACTGACACAGTACCCAACAGATAGGTGTTAGATGGCAGTTATTAGGCAAAGACACAAAGCCTGGACTTCTCCCATTCTCGAGTAGGTGGAGTTCATGATATACTCACAGAAACTGCTATCTTTCCTAAGATATCCTCTGGAATTGTTTGGCCTTTATCAATAACTTGTTTGTAGAATTTATCTAGTGATGTATCCATGAGCTCCATGCAGATCCACACATCGCCCTGGAGACCAATAAGTCCAAGGGTTATCAATGAGGAGGGAACGGAAAAAAGAAAAAATAACCAACAATTTTCCCAAAGGGCTAATTCTTGTTTGAGCTTTTGGAAGAAAGGGATGGTTTCTCCTCAAGATTTGAACCCATTTAAAAGCAAACAAGATTTTTTCCAAAGAGCAGCCCACCCTGCAGTGAGCCTATGAGATCAGAGACTCTTACATCGTTGTTCTCCTTGGACATTGACCTGAAGAATCACCTACCTCCCGGAAGAGTGCACCATAGAAGGTCACGGTAAATGGACAGTCCACTGTCCTCATGGAAACATCCAGATCCATCAGTAGCCGTTTCTGCTCCTGGCTATTAACTGTGGCCCGTATCCGCTGAATGGAAACACATATCAAACAACATATGGTTACTACTCTGAGGAAGAGTCACCTGAAAAAGCAGGGACCCACCAAAGCCCCATCCTAACAACAGAATCAAACCTCACACTGTTTGCAGAAACCTACCCATTGCATCTCTAAACACTAGCTGTTTGAACAAATGAAAAAATAACAAAGATGGTTGACCATTTGACTTCCTGACCAGCCCCTTCTTAGAAGCAAAGATGCAGTATAGACCAGAGAATGGGAAAGCATTTCAAAGCAGCAAAACCAACCTGGTTTAATGTCTATGTCTGTTCAACGCAGAACATGATACCCTTGATTACTCTCTGCTTACCTGGGTCCCAAAAGTTTAAAAAAAGAGATCAGCCAGGACTAGAGAGACAGATCAGCAGTTAAGAGCACTGGCTGCTCTCCCAGCGGACCCAGGTTCAATTCCCAGCACCCACATGGCCGCTCACAACTGTCTGTTACTCTAGTTCCAGGGGATCTGATGACCTCTTCTGGCCTTTGTAGGCACTGCAGACACATGGTGTCTATACATGCAGTCAGGCACACACACATGTGTGCACATACAATAAAGATAAATAAATCTTTAAAAGAAAAATAAAATAGCAGTAAAGGTGAAGATCCCCACCTTGGGGGACCCTTGAAGTACTGTAGCTATAGTCACCCTTGAAGTATGACTTAGAAACTCATTCTGGGATGAATTTGGATGACAAAAGGCACAGATGATTGTGTTAATAACATAAAATGCTGTCATTTGGACACACAGCTTCCTACATTAATAGGTCACCCCTAGACTACACAGAATCCACTTAAGCCACTTAAGCTGACTCCAAACTTCTGCCCATAGCTCGAAATCTACATAATCAGTGATAAATACATTCAACCCTTCTTTCCCTACAAATATAGACAATCTTCTTTCTCAGTTTTTGTTTCTTGATTTTCAAGGGTTAGTTCTTTTAACCAACACAATATGCCATTAAAGAGCCTTTTGTTTAGAACCTGATTTTATAAAAACAACAACAGAATAATAACACTTCAATATAGCCAAGGAAACTTTCTTTGGATGGGTATCAGATGAGGTTTTTAAAGTACTATAAATCATTTTAAGGGTAATTAGTTACACAGTAGTAGGAGCTAGAGAGATGTCTCAGGGGTGAAGAGCACAAACTGTGCTTGTAGAAAACCAGAATTCAGTTCCTGGACTGTAAATCAAGTGGTTCCCAATTGCCGATAATTCCAGCTCCAGGGAATCTAAAGCCCTCTTCTGCCCTGCAAGTGTACCTGTACCCATGAGCACATAGTCTCAGTCTCTCTCTCTCTCTCTCTCTCTCTCTCTCTCTCTCTCTCTCTCTCTCTCTCTCTTTCCTTTCCTTTCCTTTCCTTTCCTTTCCTTTCCTTTCCTTTCCTTTCCTTTCCTTTCTTTAAAAACTAAAAGGAGGAGACAAGGAAGACTTAGAAAATAAATATAAAGTTGATATGACTCAGGTCAACAGATCACCTTCCTGAAAGTTCAAGATCCACAAAAAAAAAAAAAAGAGTACTTTTTTTTATTCTATTGCGGGTTGTTTTCCTTCTGCAAAAAAAGAGCCAGTTCACAGTCGAGATGGGCAAACACAAACACTGAAGAAATAAGACGTTTTGTGGAATGTCAACTCTACCTTCACCGCCATGATCTGCCCGCTGGGCACGTGACGCATCTTCTCCACCACACCGTACGCACCTCGTCCCAGCTCCACTATAGGCTCCAGGTCATCTGCCTTCACCTCAAAGTTCTGCAAGGAGGAAAGGTCGTCACACAAGGGGAAGGTGAGTACTAAACAGGGCACCAAGTAGGCTACCCTTTATCCATTTTCTTCAGGTGTCCTTGGTGTGATAGCTCAGCCACAAGTCCTCTAAACATGTCAAGGTGCCACTCAAAGCCAGAAGAGCACCAGGAAATGTTCAGGATCCCATGGTAGACAACCTGTTTGTCCTCAGTGATAGACACAAAGTCACCCAACTCACCTTTTTTTTTTTCTTTTTTCTTTTTTCCAAGACAGGGTTTCTCTGGCTGTCCTGGAACTCACTCTGTAGACCAGGCTGGCCTCAAACTCAGAAATCCGCCTGCCTCTGCTTCCCAAGTGCTGGGATTACAGGCGTGCGCCACCACCGCCCGGCTCCATCTCACGTTTCAAACTGTGCCTCTGAATCTATCTACACTGTAGCTATTTAGACTCTCTGACTGGCTAATAGCGACGAGACCTGTGTGGCTTTGAGAAGCATCGTCGCAAGAGAAGCATCTATTGCTCTCAGATGCCTTCCTTGGGAAGCACAATCACTTGATTACAATTCACAATTCAAAATACCAAAAGCTCCAGGAGTCAGATCCCTTTTAATTTAAAACCCTTTTTTAACCTGTCCCCTGACATTCTGCCACAGGAAACCGACTTTTCGGTGTCCAGTGGGGAAGCGTGCATAAGAAGAGATCAAAGGGCCAATCGTACTGCATGACTTTTCTTACCTGGTTTCCAATAGATATACAAGCCTTGGAGTCTAAATCCCGAGGTGGCCTAAGAAAGATAAGGGATAAAAGAAGCAGCGTGAGGTATTTGGTCAACTGTGTCCTTCCCACATAGGTCAGCTGATCGATTTGCTCAAAGGAAACGGGTCCAGGTCTGAGTTCAAGGCCAAACAGAGGGACAACAGGAAGAAGGCGGGGCTTGAAACAAAATACATTGGGTTTCACTCACACCCTCTCTCTGAGTATCTGACTCTTCTTTAACATGGAATACATATACTTAGTGGGGTAGGGATGAGTATTAATTGAGATACTCCAAGCAAAACCCTACAGTAAATGTTCAATAAATGTACAGCCATGAAGTGTCACACAGAACAAAGCTTTTGAAATCATGGCTTCTGACCCCATGTGCTGTATAACTCTGCTTGTTACAGAAAAAAAAAAAATGACACCAGGGAAAGCTTTCTGAACAACCAAAAGTCAATTGAAAAATCAAAGCCGTCATGAAATGGATTGGTTCCTGGTGGCACTCACCCGTGTTGCATGGGGTGGCCTCTCTGCAGCCTCAGTTCTGAGCACACAACACGCATCCTGTCCGTAACACGTGCTGTCACATGCCACGACCCGTCAATGAACACTGCCTAAAGGACCCCGGATGCAATTACAGACTACTATGTATGATTGCTGATGTGATTCCACTAGGCACACAAACCTCTCTGCTTCATAATGGTTCCGTGATGGGAAATAAGGCTTTAATACCATCTTACAAACATCCCTTAGTGTTTAAGTATCCGAGTGGTATGCATTGTATTGTATTTCTCTCATTTTGAAAACTGCTGTTTGACATGTTGACTTAAGTTTCATAAAACAATTGTTAAGTGTATTTTGACCTGGGATTTGGACAGAATTTCAAACAATGTCTGAAATGGCCCTAACTATACTCTTGCTGTTTTGCGATACATACTTATAGCAAGTGGCATTCTCGGTATAGACAGTTACGAGATAAAAAACACTGATCAACTCAGAGAAACACGGAAGACACCCTACATAATACAGTATCAAATATTCAGCCACAACTCAATTGTTTATGTAAAGACAAGCAAACACATCTATTTCTAATGTGCAAATTGGCTTTAATCATGTATGAATGGCTAAGTTATACATACGCCAAGGAATTACTTTAAAATGAAGTTATTTAGGATTTAGCATCAGTACATGTCTGACACATATTCCTCTTCAGAACCTATTACATGAGGTTGTATTTTAAAATTTGTTGACGAAAAAACAGATTATGAGTGGAAAAAAACATACATAGCTCTGGTATAGACAATAATGCTTTGGTGATACACTTCGAACCCTTTCATTCATTCAAGAGTATCAACATGTTCAATTATTTTTACCCTTTGTTTTCATAATTGTTTTTTAAAATAAACTAGAATGTTGTCTTGTTAACTTACAAAATTCACAAAGAACAAGAACTCCAAAATACTGTCATCCCCTCCCTGCTTCATTGGGTGACCAAAAGGTCTAAGGAGGACAAGTGACTTGTTCCCAACTACGGAGAACTCAGGCCTCCTGACTACCATCTCAGCATACTTTCGCATCTACAGGCCCAAGTCCAGTGACATTTCTTCTGTACATAGGGAACATTCTATTCCGGGATTGTCTCAGGAGCCAGAGGTTTGCTGACTTTGTGTTTCCATGGTCTCCTCCTGGGCATTGCTTTTTATTATCTGTGCGCTGGGTTGGTAGAAATCAGCTGAAGAGAACAGTGTTTGGCTCTGGCTGGGTACCTCATCGGAAACTGAGAAAGGTACCTTCTCAAAATAAAGGCACCAAAAGTAAGAGATGCAAAGACGCATGTGCTTCACATGATCAAGCAAACAGAACAAGAGGCAGATGCAGACAGGGGATGACGCACTATCCTTACAAAGAACAAGTGGCCTAGCAATTCACATCTCCTTGGATGCTCATTCATGCCAGAACTGTCTGCAGAAAGGAAAATGGGGAGTGGGTGGGGGGAGAAAAGATGAAAGGGAGAGAGTAAGGGTCACTCGCCACCCTAGTCAGATGGAGCTGTGGATTTGACAAGCCTACTGTCATCCGAGCAGAGAGCATAGATTCAGGAATCACTTAGATCAGATTGGCCTGTGAGCATGCCAGTGGAGAACTATCTCAATTAGGAATTAACTTAGGAGGGCCCAGCCCACCATGGGCGGTGCCATTCCTATTCATATAGACCTGGGTTATATAAGATAGCTAGCTAAGCATGAGCTGTGGCTGAGCCAGAGACTGAGCCAGAGAACAGAGTTCCTCTATAATTTCTGCATTCAAGTCCCTGGTTCAGTTCTTATCCTGACTTCTCTCAGTGACAGGCCATGACCTGGAAGTATAATCCAAATAAATCCTTTCCTCCCCTAAGAGCATGTATCACACAGGAACCGAAAGACAATCGAGACACTTGCTGAATGTTCATTTTCTCCTTGTGTATTATGGTTTTATCTATTCTGCTGAAACCAAATACACAAATAAATGACGAAGGTGAGGAGAAATGAAGAAATGGAAAGATAAATGTGACTGTCAACCTGACTTTCAGGGCAAGCCCTCCCTTCCTTCAAACATCATTTCAGCTTGACACTGAAATGAGACAGACTGAGAGAGGAGAGAAGACGACTGAAGTGTTGTCCATATGTCATGATGCCCACGTGTGTCCTGTTTCCAAGCAGGCAATTTGTCTTCAGAAAAGCCTTCCAGAAGAATCGAGCTTCCACATTTCTCATTCTTCTTTCAGATTTATTTGTATTTTTGTATCTTGTTTTGTTTTGTTTTGTTTTTCGAGACGGTTTCTCTGTGTAGCCCTGGCTGTCCTGGAACTCACTCTGTAGATCAGGCTGGCCTCAATCTCAGAAATCCGCCTACCTCTGCCTCCCAAGTGCTGGGATTACAGGCGTGCGCCACCACTGCCTAGCTATTTGTATTTTTTTAAAGTCATGTGTATGTATGTGTACATCTGTGTGTGGGTATGCACACATGACTGTAGGTGTCTACTGAGGCAAGGAGAGGGCATCAGATCCCCTGGGACTGGAATTACAGGTGGTTGTGAGCCACCCAACATGTGCACTGAGAACAAAATTCAGGTCCTCTGCAAGAGAAGTAAGCACTCATACCTATGGAATTTCTCTACCCCCTAGTTTCTCATTCTTAAAATAGTCAAAGCTGTTTTTGCTTAGTTTTTACAATTTGTTTGCACTAATTATAATAGCCCTTAAAAAGGAAGACAAATGTAACTTGACTAACAATAAGTGAGTAATAATAAAATCTTTGACAACTTTCCTTGGTAAGGTTATGGAGGAAAAAGAAAGGTCACTAAATATTTGTGCTACCTCTATTTTCTTGCCAACCAGTGAGATCACTGGATAGGACCTCTTCCAGATCAAATCTTCTATTTGAAACCGTGGCTTACAAAGCACAGCTTATGGCCCAGCTATGAAAGAATTTCATATACTTAATGATTCCACAATATTCTATAACCAACAAAGAATATACAATTAATGCCACCATGGCCCATTTCAGCCCAGAAGACTTACTCTCTAGCTTTCCCAAATGCTTGCTGCCCCTGACTCTGATCTCTGCTTATATTTCACGGCAACGTCATAGGGCATGGTGCCATTTTCTAAAAGAAGAAAAATGCACACCAGGAAAGTTTGGTGATTTTATGAAGAAACATAATTGATGACTACACTAAATATAAAACTCCTGTCACCCGATCCTCAGCCTTGGCAGAAGGAGAAGGAAGAGAGACAGAAGTTAAAAAGCTGTATAAAGTGCTTTACCCTTCCATGATTCCTATGGAAATCAGACTGAGTCAAGGGACGGGTTCCCAACACTCAGGCTTCTAATGAAAATGACTAATCCACCCAAGCCTCGGGCCTCTGGGTTCATCAGGTCTGCCAAAAGCATCAAAGGATGGGGCCAAGCCTGGCGGCTCAGGGTGAATTAGCTGACACTGTGCCCTAACTAACCCCCTGTCCAGGGTTGAACATATTCATTTGCCTGAGGTGGCCACAGTTAGCCACAGGAGGCTAAAACCATGGGTGGATATTCTTGTCGATTATTCAGTATTTTATTCCTCTGGGGAAAGAACCAAACTTAGCAGAAAATTTATTCCCTGGAAGGCTAAAGGTACTCCAAAGGTTGCTTAAGGCAGGTAATTCATGTTAACACCAGTGATGGCCTAGTTTGATAATTATTTATTTATCTACAACTGTATACAAAGAACCAGCTCGTTGGTAACTGTTACATGTACTATTCATTTATTTTATTAAACACCTGCCTGCTATGCAGGTAATCAGCTCACTGGTTACGTTTGCATGTATTGTTTGTTTGTTTTATTGAGTACCCACCTGAGTCGGGAACACTGATATAAAACAGCTTCTTTACCTTTTGTGATAGGTGCTGTGTCTCCACTTCAGTGGGAAGAATTAACATCAAAAGGCATAAAATGATTTAAGATTCTTCAATAAAAGAACCCATACACACACATGTATAAGAGAACCCAGAGCTATACCATGATAATTCTCACTGCAGAGGTCAAAGATTCTCATCTACTAACCAAGAACTGTTAGGTCTGATCTCACATAGAGCTAAGAAAATCGCTGAGCCTCCAGTATCCCTGGCTTTATGTGCCAGCTTGTATGCCTAAAAGCTATGCCGTCAAACGAAACAATTTGCAATGACCTTTCACGGAGCAGCTATTATGACAGATGAGTGTTTCTAATCTCGATAATGATCTTCTCATTTGGTCCTAATCTTTTCAAGAAGAAACTTAAGTTTGCGGCAACAAGGAATCCTGCCTAAACTAAGGTATTGACCTGGAGAAGCTTAAAGCCCAAACATGAAACCATGCTGAAGGACTTTGAACACAGCACTTAACCCTTGAATAGTCTGTTTCACTTCCCAAATGAATAAGAAAAATTCCCTGACACACATACCAAGTGATTTGTCAAGGTTAAATGAACTGCCAATTATTAGCCTAGAGTTGAATTTGAGCTAGTTACTACCAGTCAAGAAAGGTGACAGCTCAGAAACCAGAAGCAAAGACAGTGACTTGAGAATGAGAATGCCATAAATCCACACAGGGTGAGCTAAGGAATGGCACTCCAGGCTCTCTGTTCTACCCCAGCCTGTCTCTATTCAATATCAGATCTGCCTAGAAAATGACAAAATGCAGAAGCTCTACGTTTGGAGGTAAATTTAAGCCTCAGTATTAATAAGACTCTAGGGGCAAAAATGCTAAAGCCCATCAAAACAATGTTCTCCAGTGTACGCAGTGGAACAAAGCCAGATGTTGAAAGTATGCTCTACTCCAAGAAGAAACAGACTAGAAACCACTTCTGTCCTTGGGTTCTAGCCTTCTTCTCTACACCTAGGAATGCTTTCAAAATCCATAACATACAGAAAATTGGCAAACATTAGAAAAGAGTAAAAAAATAAAAGATTTAAAGAAAAGGATTATAAAGCAGCTAAGTGGTTGATACGTGTGTATATGTATGTATACATATATGTGTGTATATATATATATATATATATATACATATATATATATGTGTGTGTGCGTGCATATATATGTGTGTGTGTGTGTGTTCTAAAGTCAAGCCTCACATGCTAGGCAAGTATCTTTTTTTTTAAGATTTTTTTTTTTATTTATATAAGTCCACTGCAGGTGTCTTCAGACACACACCAGAAGAGTGCATCGAATCACATTCCTGTTGGTTGTGAGCCACTATATGGTTGCTGGGAATTGAACTCAGGACCTCTAGCAGAGCAGTCAGTGCTCTTAACCACCGAGCCATCTCTCCAGCCCAGCTAGCTAGGCACGTATCTTAACACTGAATTACATGCTCAACTCAATATCAGACTATAGGTTTAGGAGCTGGCCATGGTAGTACACACCTTTAATCCTAACACTATAGGGGTAGAGGCAGTTGGATCTTTATAACTTTAAAGCCAACCTAGTCTACATAGCAAGTTCTGGCCAGCTAGGGTTGCAAGTGAAAGTCTATCTCAGAATAAAAGAAAAGGCAAAGACTATATCTTCTGGAGAACATATTTTAAGAGGGTTGAAAACAACATTGAGAACAAAAAAGCAATCAAATAAATTGTGTTAAGGAAGTCAACAAATCTGCTGGGCCTGGTGGTGCACACGTTTAATCCCAACACACAGGAAGCAGATGAAAGATCTAAATATCTAGAGAAAAGTATCACGTTCCTGCACTAGCAGCTCAGTGGAAAAGAGAGATCAACTCTGCCTCAGTTGACTTCTAGAATAAATTTAACTCCTAAGAAAATGTCAGCCAGTGTCTTCGTGAACAAGGACAAGGTTATTCTAAAGCTAACAAGAAAAGACAAGACTCTTTCAAGGGCTAACAGAACTTTGGAATACATGTTTGTGAGTGTGTATGTGTGTGTGTGTGTGTGTGTGTGTGTAGACATATATGTGTATATATGCTACAAAAGCTTAAAAAAATTAATTTTCAGAAAGAGCAAAGTAGGAGGAACCACATTCCCTATGATCATAGTAAGATAGTGTGAGCCCAGAGGAAGAACAGACCCAAAAGTCAAGAGAGTAGAATAGAAAATCCAGAAATAGCTTAATTACTATTAGACAAAGTAAAATGGCAATTCAACAGGGAAGGGACAGTTCACAGCAAACTGAACTACATCAACTGGAAATGTGTCAACAGAAACAAACCATAACCCCTCAGTGCAACAGACAGTGTACTAAACCTTAGCTCCAAGTGGACCTTAGGCTGCAGGGTAAAGGTAAATCTTCTAAGCAGGATCATTGAGAATCCTCAGGACCTACGGTAACAAGAGTTCTTAGGTACCAGCAACATAAACTGTAGAAAGAATAACAACTAATAAATAATATTCCAGGGCTGGAGAGATGGCTCAGCGGTTAAGAGCACTGACTCTTTGCTCTTCCAGAGGTCCTGAGTTCAATTCCCAGCAACCACATGGTGGCTCACAACCATCTGTAATGGGATCTGATGCCCTCTTCTGGTGTGTCTGAAGACAGCAACAGTGCACTCATATACATTAAATAAATAAATACATAAAAAAATAATATTCCATCAAAATCACATTTTTCTGCCCTGTAAAAAAAAAAAAAATCTCACCAAAAGAATGAAAAAGATGGATTACACACTGGAAGAAGTACTTTCAAATGAGATAACTGGGAAAGTCCTGGTGCCTAGAATACGTAAATAACTCAACAGCCAATCACAGGGAGGCAGGGTAGCTCAGTGGAGAAGAATCTTGGCTTTGCCAAGCCTGGGGTCCTGAGTTCAATATCTGTGACTCACGTGGTAGAAAGAGAGAATTTACTCCCTCTGATCTCCACAGGCAAGTATACACACACACACATACATACATACACACACACACATATACACACACACACACACATACACACACACACACACACACACACACGGTGGGAGTAAGAAAAAGAGAAAGGTCAATTATAGAGGGTAGTAGAGGTGGTGAGAAAAACCAACATATAATTATATACATATATACGTATATATAAATATACATGCATATGAAAAGTTCACAGCGAACCCAATTTCTTTGAAATGCCAACAAGAAATTTAAACTAAAAATGAAAACAATTCTCTAATAAGATAAAAGCAAAAGCTTTGGATGAGAAATAGAGAGAGGCTTCAACAGTTAATAAAGTGTACTGCTCTTAGGGGTGAAGAGAAACTAAAAACTGGCTCACAACCACCAGTGAGTCAGCTCCAGGTGATCATCCTATGCTCCCTACCGGAGTCTACAGGCTTGGCACTCTTGTGCATCTGGCTTGAGTAAATATAATACATTTTGTTGTAGAAAAAAAGATATGCACAGTTGCCACACCAGGGTAAAGTCTGTGGATGGAAAAGGAGCATCTAAAATATTTCTACAGAATTCACCGTTAGAGATATTCAAGATAAATTTAGCTATAGTCATCTATTACTATACAGAAAGGCTTAAAAAGAAAAACTTATTAACAATGGCAACTCTAAATGCTGGCAGAGATGCAGAGAAACTATATATATATATATATATATATATATATATATATATATATATATATCCTTCATTTATAATTGGTGAGAATATAAAACAGTACAACAAGAAAGCACACACCCATATACATACATATACACACACACACACACACACACACACACACACGAGGCGCTAGTATGGCTAGTGTAATCAAATAAGTTCTCTCATCTGCGCCAGTGTGGCTTCCTTGGTTATGAGAACACTGTACAGTTGGATAAGTTGTTAACAAGCAGGCAAGCAGGTATGCAGACTCCGGCAAGAGCGCACTGGATTTTCATGTGCATTCCTTTGCAACCCCCTCTAACTATGATCATGTCAAAGTGCAATCTTATAAAGCCCTTTACTGATAGCACAAGGAAGCCTCATACTTTACTGCAACCTTTCTATAAGCCAGAGAGAAATGCTAAAGAAATAGAATCACACTATTTATTTTTTTACATTTACAGTTGGAAAGAAATGCAAACTATGCAGAAGAACCCAATATTTATGCAAGTAGGGGAAGAATTTCCTCCTACACATCTTCATGAAAGAAATACTCCAACTGAATTCAGTCTCTTGGCTACCCTAGAAAGTCTCTCTGTTGCTGCAAGCCATGTGAGGTCCTCTCTAATCTGGGCAATCTCTTGGTTGTTTTTTCATGATCCTAACACTAGGGGGTGCTGTTTCTGATAAGATGTGTCACAGCTAAGGTCAAATAGCCTTTCCGAGGAGGCTTAGTGAATTGAAATCATACAGACTCAGGGTTTGGCTCTCTGCACTTGCTCTGCCACTCCAGTGCTTCTGTTGTGGTTTATGGTCTTGTATTCCTCACTCTTCAGAGGAAGAGGCATTGATTCTTAAGACCTCGAGCTGCATGGGCGATACCCAGCCAACCTCATAGACATACAAGAGGATCTGAGCTAACAGAGCTTCTGGCCAAAGCTTAAGCTAATCAAGAGATATTCCATTAGTTTATCTTGCATTCTGTATCTATAGCCAGGATTAGGTGTCAAAATGCCATGACTATCATCAAATACTATCCTACTGTTCTGACTTAATTTTAAGAGTCTTGTCCCTTATAATCACATGGATTTATTTATCTGTTCAATGGTATTTATAGGAAAGAGCCAGTCCACACTTGGGGAACTTGCTGGGTATATATAGGATCTCAACACCCATGTGGCATATAGCTCTCACACAGCCAGTAATTTGAGACACTGACTTCAAAGCTGTAGAACATTGTGGACTAGCAGACTGTTTTAGAGCTCAGAAAAGTAAGCAAAGGACTTTCCTCTCAAAGGTCTGATTTTTTTTTTTTGTAACAACCATGCATAAACTGAAGACCTCACTCACTAGTCCAAAAATGAGCCCCCAGAGCAATCACGTAAAATACAAGTGTTTGGAACGGAACCATCATCTAGCCGACTTACGTGGAACTGGTCTGAGGTTGTTCGAATGCTTCTTTTGGAATCTTAAGGCCGGGGTTTCGCTTCTTGCCTATGGGGAAGGACAGAAGGGAAAAGTTAAAGTCCACCTTACCGCAAAAGAGCAAGGAAAGAGACTCCCAAGCAAAGGGAGAAAGGTGTCAATGGCACCTGTTTTTACCTTCTGACTCAGAATACAACTTGCTAAGGGAAAAGTCACTCAGGAACAGGGGCCAGAGCATCACACAGCTTCTCAAATGCAAGCTGGGCCCAGAAATGGCAGTACTCTAGGCCCAGGTGAGCATATCACAGAGAAAATGTTAATTCTTGCTGGGTGTATGCCAGCAAACACTTGCCTACATGAGGGAGACCAGGGCTTAACCCCCAGGGCTGAAGAAGAAATGTCAGCTCTTTTGCTAAAGAAGTGGAGCCTTCATACCTACTGAAACACTGTCACATTAATTTCTTTGGTTGTTCTTGTATACAGCAACCATGAGGGCAGAGGACACTGGGTTTAAGGTAGGACATTTTGGTTGTTTGCTTGTTTTCGTTTTAACTGCAAGAAAATGTCATCACCCTGAACTCGATATCCTATAGTTTCCTAACTTGGAGAGAAGTTGTTAGTGATGGTGGAAATGAACATAAAACACCTCTTGACACTGGGTCGTGTTGGCACATGCCTTTAATCCTAGCACTTGGGCAGAGGCGGGTGGATGTCTGAGTTGGAGGCCAGCCTGGTCTACAGTGTGAGTTCCAGGATAGCCAGGGCTACACAGAGAAACCCTGTCTCAAACAAACAAACAAACTCCACTCCTCTGCTGTTCTGTCTATACTCATCCTCACCTACCTCTGAGCCGCTAAAACACTGAAGAGAAAGAAACATTGACTCTGCTCTAAAAGGACTAGGAGCATGCAATGATACATTGACTCTGCTCTAAAAAGTACTAGGAGAACAGCCTGGATCGTGCCTGGAGGTTACCGCTTCCTTGGGGTCCAGATGGGAATTCAGGCTGCTGTTGTTCATCCCTGGGCTGAAACTATGGGAGTATTTGGCTCAGGCACCTTTGCTGATGAGTCAGAAAGACCAGACTAGGAAATGTCAGCTCAGAAACCAGACTTGGAAAAATCAGTCATGTTAAGGACCTGGGAGTTTCTTCCTAGGTGTGGATCGCAGGTATTTGCGCTTGGCAGAAGTCGAAGCAGAAATGCATATGATGCCTACGGTCTTGCTTCTTTCCTCTGCTCCCCTGTGTACTCCAAGTGGGCGCATCAGTGCTGATACAGGCCCTGGATGAGATCCTAGTAGACCCTAAGGCATAAAATAACTTAAGAAATGTGTGGTTTCTGCGTGAAAACGAACTCAGTGGCATCTTCAGCATCACAGAACGGGCGATGACATCACTAGCAACTGTGTCACGGTCTCCTGACATTCAGTATTCCACTATGAGCACTCCTCAGGGCCAGAGGAGTGGGAATTGTGAATTTATAAATCACCAGGTTATTGCTCTGACCAAATGACCTACAGACTGCCTTTTTTACAAAACATTTCTTTTTAATTGTATGGGTATGAGTGTTTCACCTGCATGTATGCCTGTGTACCACATGCAAGCTATGTCTGAGGAGACCAGAAGGTATTGTATTCCCTCTGAAATTAGTGTTATAGGCTTTTGGGAGTCATCTTGTGAGCATTCAGAATAGAACACAAGTCCTCTAGAAGAGCAGAGAGTGCTCTTAACCACAGACAGTCTTTTAACTCTCACGTCTCTCCTCTGTTGTCAAATCCAGAATAACATCAATATTTACTTCTCTAAACTAAATGTAAAAATCAAACCAGACAGGGCATATGAAAAATACCGAGACAGCCAAAGAACCCTTCCATTATGATCATATAGAGAAACAATCTGTGTGTCTTATTTCAAAAAAATAAATAAGAAGAAATCCATGACTAAAACAGGTTATGTTATTATTAGAACCCTAAAACAGAATATAATTGAGCTTTTTCTATCTATACTTCTAGAAATTTGAAATCTAGATCAATTCAGCAAGCAGTGTTAAGGCAAAGTTAGTCAATAATCAGCACAGAGAAAGCCTTTGGGGAACAGCTTTTAGTAAACAGTTTTTCTCAACTATCTCTTCATTTCTTTCTAGTAAGCATCAGTCAGTGTACATCTGTTATTACTCCCTCCTCCTGAATCTCAGAGGCCACTTAGCATATATCTGTGAAGTTAATTAGCCCTATACAATGTGGACTGACAGTACATAGAACTTCTCACTGTACTGTGTCTGACACTGAGGTCCCAAACACATGGCTAGCTTAACTCTGACGAGCCCCAACTCTGAGTCCCCACCCATGAGTCTCAGCGGCAAAACAAGGAAGGAGATGCAGTGGAGAGGACTTGCTCCTGAGAGAACCCAATTCCCTGCTTCAAATCATGACAAGTGCTAGCAACACTAGCAAAGAGATTATCAGGAAAGCACAGCAAAGATCACCTTAGGGTCCTATCAAACAAAACAAAAGTAAATATACCCTGCCTGGAGTAAGGGCTCCCGGTGGCCACTCAGTGAAATCTTAGGCAGAAGTTACTCATCCTCGATGCTAACTTGGGTCCTATATGTCAGGTGTTTTTTTTTTTCTTTTTTTCTTGTTTTCTTTTTTTTTTAGTTTTTCGAGACAGGGTTTCTCTGAGTAGCCCTGGCCATCCTGGAACTCACTCTATAGACCATGCTGGCCTCGAACTCAGAAATCCGCCTGCCTCTGCCATGCCAAGTGTGAGGAAAGATCACTGTTTAAATTTAGAGGAAAATCACCATCTAAAAAGCTTAACACATCGGGAGCGATTTTTAAGCAGCAACTAGTTATTACACCATAACACTATAAATTATCAAAATATCCACCTAAAGACAGAAAGACCTGGAAGCAAAAGGTAAGAGATGGAGGAAGTTTGGGGGTTGGGGGGGGAGATAGATCTTTGGGGACAGAAACCAACTGAGCAGATGACCAAAACAATAATACAGCCTGCTCTTGGTTCTCCCTCAACTTCCCAAGAACACTGAGCACTGCACACCACTCTGCCCCTGAATTTGCAGCCTCTAGTCTCCTCTGACACCTCACTCTCTACAAGTTAGAGATTTTCACGCGGTGTCCAATGTTTTCACGAGAGTCAAATTTCAAACCATTCAACTCCTGACAGCAACAAGAATAAACCTCAGGAGACACAGAACCCAGCAGAACATCATTTAGAAAAGTGTCCCTTTTCTTGAAGATGTAAATCAAGTAACCTGAAAACCACAGACGTCTTTGCCTCCTTCCAGAACTTACTTGACCATCTCCAGAAGCTTCATTGGCTCCCAGGAGGTCTGCAAAGCTGCAAACTTGGGGCCGGCAGAAGGAACCCCCAGCAGAAGCCCTCCTTTGCTAAGCTCCAAAGCCGGCACGCTTCAGCTGGAGGCAAAGAACAGAGCAGGCTCCACCTCCTGCTCTTGTGTGGTAGCAAAACTCCACAGAGTTCATTGTTCCAGGGCAGTGGGAAGTCACTCAGGGAGGCAGAAGGTTAGCACGCCCATTCAGACACCCAGGGGTGGCATTGATCATTAACCAGCCCCACAGTTATAAATCCCTGAAGTAACTCTGGGAGCCCAGTGGTCTACACCTTTGATAAATGGCTCTTTCATTTCCTAACAGAAAGAAAAACAATAGGTGGTCGGTTTCCAGCTGTGTTTATTTCAGGGCAATCTGTTCCCTCAAGGAGGCTTGCCAACACCACGTGCTCACATTTAACACAGTGCTAGGGAGGGAGGGAAAAAAAAAACCGAATGGGAAGGAGAGAGATGAATAACAAAGTTAAGTGGCCAGGAACATTAATCGACCTTTCCTTTGATAATCCAAACCAGAAATTGTTAAAGTCAGAAAATAGGCTTCACCTTAGGTGAGAATAGAATCCAGGGATTCTCAGGGGGAACCCTGTCTGCTTCTCGTATGCCCTTTTCTTGGTACAGACTGGAAAAGGGGGAGCCAGCTTGACTGAACACACAGGCAGACACATTGTGTTTCATCAGCATGTGCACACAAATGCGTGTTTGTATGTAAGTGTGCGTGTGTGTTTGTGTAGAAAAAAAAAAAACAGTTTCTCTGCAAACAGTATCCTCCCATCACACACTGAGACTCGGCTACCTACATTCATCTTTCATCTTTAAACCAAAGCCAGGTCATGAGAATTCAGACCAGAAGCAAAATAGCACTGGGCTGAGAAAGAAATTTTTAGAAAGAAAAAAAAATTACTAGGTCACATAGAAACGTCCTAGCATTGAGTGTACATAAAATGATGGGGTACAAATAAGGTCTCGCCCAGCACCCGCTCCAAGGCGGTGAGCACAAAGGCCTTTTCTGATGTGTCTTATTACATAAAATAGAGAACTGTGCTCTGGTGCCAACCCAAACAGCACACAGCCCCACAAGGCTGGCAGAAGATGCCATCCTGAGATAAGCGGGTGTCTCAGTATTTGTCAGCTCCACTGAAGGTTGGGGAGCAGGATTCTGGGGGTCTGCGGCTATGGTCATGGCTTCCCAAGAGGAAGAACTGCGGGTGGCTGGTGCCAAGTTTGTTTTTTCTAGTGTGTTTCCTGGTGTGAATGGGGCTTCTAGCCAAGTTCCTGGGGACCTGGAGGCCTTGGCTGCCCTCTCCCTACAACTTGCATCTGGCCTCCCGTTCCAAGTGTCGCTGGCAACAGAGCTCACAGAAAAGTGTCATTAGATGCCATTAAACTACAAGGAGCATGTACAAAGCAGCTAAGGAAGGCCCGGGGAGGCGGGAGGTGCAGAGATTGGAAAGCTCATTTGAAAACATAGAATCACATTAATTAAGAAGGCAGAATGAATCTCTTAGCAGTTTGCCTGCCCCTACATGGTCCCCACTGTTAGTAGTCTGTTTAAACTCCACCTCCACAGTTACCTGGCAACAGCCAGGTAGGCCTGCCCACTATAAAAGGGGCTGCTTGCCCCCTCCTCTCTCTCTTACCCTCTTACCCTCCTGATCTCTTGCCTCCAGCTTCTCTCTGTCCCCTCGCCCCTCCCCC